CCCATGGGTTCAACCTTAGATTTAGATTGCAGAGTTCTGACAAGTGCCGTACATGCACCAACGGCATGCGTTAAGGTCTGATTACTTCTGACCTAACTGCTGATGTCGTTGATCTTGTCGATAAACTTTACAAACGGGCTTCGCAAGCCGAAGGGAGGAGTTTATCCAGGATTCCAGTTTGTGCAGGTTAGCTTCCACCAGATCTCCTTCCAGGGTTGACTGCCAAGGTAAAGTCGGACTTGTTTGACATACAGTAGTTTGCAGTTGCAGTGCATTGCAACATGTTGTGTCTATCCTGGTTTGGACATGCTTCTTTATAAGCGTTTGCGCCGTTAGATAGGTGCCTTGAGATTCACCCCTTTGGGCGACGCTTGCAGCACGTAATCGTCATTGTCGATGATTGAGTATGAAGCAAACTGCCCTGCTGTTATGCATGAACGACAGCGGAGCATAGCAGACCCCTAGTCCGCACTCAAAGAAGGCAACCACTGAAGCTTCGACACCGTCCGAACTTAGAGAGAACTGCTCTAGAGTTTATATTTTTGGATCCTGGGCAAGGCTCAACAAACGATACTAATAGTCCAGCCTCCCTCGAAGACATCTCTGCTGAAACTCATAAACCAGAAACCCTGAGCACCCTTAAACAGCCTTTCCATAATTGTGCTCCTGAACCCTAAAGCCCTAAATTCCTGAAATTCCTGAAGCCACAAAACCCTAAAGCCCACAGAGCCCCCAAGAGAACCCGTAGAAACAGCCCGTAAAAAGCCCTCTTCCACAAGCCTGGCAATAAATCCTGAACCCCAAAAACCCTGTAGCCCTAAAGCCCNNAACCCAAAAACGCTAAACCCTAAACCCCCCAAACCTAAGAACCCGAAGAACCCGAAGCCAGGCGTCCATCACCGGCCGTGGGGTCTTGAACAGGCCCTGAAGCGTTGGGGCAGACTCGAAGATGGCGGAGTAGATCGCTTCGCCTTGGGTTTAGAGTTTAGGGTTTTTAGGGTTTAGGGTTTAGAGTTTAGGGTTTAGGGTTTAGGGTTCAGCCGGGGTGGCCGTTATGCGGATACAGATAGCTCAGATAGATCCGATCCATAGGTAGGTATGCTCGACAAATAGGATAGACAGCCAGATAGATAGATCGATAGAGCGATCGATCGAACGATAGATAGATCGACAGACAGCTAGATAGCTAGCTAACTAGAGCTAGGACTCAGCCACAATCTTAAATGTTAGGACCATAACCCGAGGCCCTTAATCCCCAAGACCCTAAGCCCTAAACCCACCTAAACCCTGAACCCTAAACCCGAAGCTCCTAATCCTCTAAACCCTAAGCCCTAAACCCACAACCCGAAAGCCCATAGCCGGTGGCGAGGAGCCCGCAGCATCGCGTGAGCTGGCCAAGCCGATAAAGGTTCGCCATGCCTACTTTGGGGATTAAGGCCAAAGTAAGGGACGATAGCGTCCTCTGGGTTCGGGGTTTTACTTTTTGGGTTCAGGGGCTGAGGTGTTTCGGGTTTCAGGTTTCAGCGTGTGTGGCTTTGGGCTTTGTGGTTGAGTGCTTTGAACGAAGCCTTGTACTTTCTTTTGGGGGATTCGGGGGGTTTAGATTGGGGGGTTTAGATTGGGAGGTGGGTGTCGGTGCAAGTTCTTCCTCATACGGTTGGATATCTCACGCGGTTTCGGTGCGAGGTTCGGTTTTGGGGGGCTTAGGTGTATGCGATTTACGGTGTGGGGCTTACAGGCGAAGAGTTTGCAAGCTGGGCAGTGTGGGGCTCGTAAGGTGCAAGGCCGTATATGGGTAGCTCTCTAAATTAGGGTCCCTGTTTAGGTCCCCAATATAGTACGGCACCCTTATAAAAAGTACAAGGGACCCTAATTTGGAGAACTACCCATATGGTCATCTTGTGCATGTCAAGGTTTGTGGCTTCGGTGTCCCTCTTTCGGGGCTTTGCGGCCTGCATGATATGACCCATTAGGGGCGTGGGGTATCAGGAAGACATAAGACTGGGCATTCCCATCGACATTATTCAATAAAGCTGTCACCCAACATTTGTTGAGTTGCTCAGATCCTCCTCCTCCTACTACTACTACTACTACCACCACCCTAAACCCTAAACCCAACACCCTAAACCCTAAACCCGGAAAGACTCCACTGGCATTTGTGCGCATCTTCAACGGGCAGGGACAGGTTGCGAACTTCCGGAACTTCTGTTCAGAATCCCTGCCATGCCCTGGGTGCCCGACCCGAACCCTAAACCCTAAAGGGTTTAGGGTCTTAAATCCCCAAACCCTGAAGTGTTTAGGGTTTAGGGGTCTCAAAACTTTAGCCCTCGGCGGCTTAGAGTTTCGGGTTTGTTTTGGGGGTTTAAACCCTTTGAAGCCTAGTCTCGGATGATCAAAAAGCTTTTGTTCGACTCTCTGGGAGTATTTGTAACTAGGTATTCAGACCTGGGGGTTTCCGAAAATAGACCCTAATACAGTATCCTAATAGGATCCCTGTTATAAGGACCCCAAAATAAGGTGCCCCCTAATTTTCTGAAACTCCCACCTCTACATTGCTGGCCCCAAGCCCGAAGCTGCGGAGCTTGAAACGGAATGCTAGGAAGACCCCTCACGCCGCCTAAGGAAAACCATGAGCACGACTCCTCGATGTGCGCGGCATCCACTACCAGCCCCAAAAACCCTAAACCCCTAAACCTTGAACCTCTCCTAAACCCTAAACTCTGCAAAGGCTCTCAACCCTAAACCCCCAAAACTCTATAAAGGCTCTCAAGCCTCTGGCCTCCTGTGTCTCTTGCACGATGTCTGGGGCAAGTCGCAACTCTTCAAAGACATACTCCTTGGAAGGTTCGGGTTCACGTTCAGGGTTTAGGGCATGAGCTTCAGGGTCTCGGACACTTCTAAAGCCGAGGTCTTTGAAACTCACCCCATCAGACCTCGATGGCACGCGCCCGAAACGTTACAATGGTATGGAGCCAAAAAGGCATCAGGTTTCATGCGCCCTAATGATTCTTTTCTGATCTCTATATTCTATTACCTAGACCTTTCTGATGTAGTATCTTGCTTTGCATATCCAATTTCACGGTTAGGATCCTACAATAAGAAGCTAAGGTAACCAAACAAGCACTACATTTTAGTGTCTGGGGGGTGTGCATGCTTAGAAAATGGACACGGTATCTGCTGACTGTGACGTGGCGGCCTTTTGTGTAGAACCGGGTCCCATAGGGGTTGGTGGGGGCTTGTAGCCTTTTGAAGCCCAGCCATGAACCAGGACCTCTCATTGAAAAATGAAAGATACAGCACTTCGCTCTGGAGTAAACGGCTCCGTTCGAATACAAAACCTCAAGGAGAGTCCTCTTCAAACGCCGAACCACCCAAGAAGGAAGGAACACCTCGTCCTAAACCCGACCCAGACACCCACACCTTGAAGCTTAAACACGAAGCGGGAACCCTTTAAGGGAACCCCTTCCGCCCCCCCCCCTCCCTTCAGGAAGATGAGGCTGGCGCATTCACTTCCAACACCTCGATCCTTGGGGGGGAAGCTTCGGCCCTGATCTAGGAGCATGAAAAATGAAGACAAGGGCTTTGGGGGACATATTCAGATGGGCATCCTCAAGCCCCTAATATAGGGCCCTCAATAATAAGAGTAGGGTTTGGGGGGTATATTATACTATATTCATAATACGGAGCCCCCAAAACCCTATTCTAATTATTCAAGCGCTTACATGAAACCCTAAACCCTTCAAACCCCTACATGGGGGTTTCCGAAAATAGGGGACCCTAATATAGTACCCTAAATAATAGGACCCTTATTATAAGGACCCCAGAATTAGGTACCCTAATTTTTCGGAAACCCCTACGTGTTGATGAAGGACTCGGCTCTATGAGTCTTAGGACTTGACTTGCCCGCAGCAGTTGGACGTAGATCCTTTTCACTTGCCCGTAGAGAGCCTGTTTGGACTTCGAGTTTAGGGGCTAGAAAGCGTTCGGATTTTAGGGTTTTATGGGGGCTTTAGGGCTTTCGGGCTTCAGGGCTTTCGGTTTTTAGGGCTTTTGGAGCTTTTAAGGCTTTGTTTGAGGTCTTGCGGCTTCAAGGGTCCACAGGTCCGCGGTTTCGGGATTAGGGGTTTAGGGGTTTAGGGTTTAGGGGTTCAGGGGTTTAGGGGTTCAGGGTTAAGGGGCTTAGGGTTTAGGGTTAGGGGCTTAGGGGTTTAGGGGTTTAGGGTTTAGGCTTTACTGTTGATCCCAGGACTGTCGCGAAGGCGTAGCCTCCTGGGTTGGTTTCGAACCACGGGGCCCGTTGCATGGAACCTCGGAGCCCAGAACCACGCTCGAATGAGATGGAGGGCATAATGATTCATTTTAGGGTTTAGGGTTTAGGGTTTAGGGTTTAATGTAGGGGCCTAATCAGTAGAATGGTGTTTTTTGGGGTATAGCATACTATAGTTGTAATCAGGAACCAACAAAATATTTTAGTATAGGTAGTTATTTGGGACCCTATACCATTTATTGTGCTCTCCAACAGGCCCCTCCGGGAGTCTAGCGCAGGAGACACGGGAAGGTCCGAAGACTCGAGTTGTGTAGAAGTGCATCTTGCCATGCAGTTCAGGGGCACTTCGTCAATGTGGAGCTCCAGTGTGTCGTAGTGTGGGTTCTCCTCCTCATCTTCCTGACAGGCACCGATTACACTGACAGGCACTAGTGCACCCCCATACTCCAAGTCGAAGCGAAACTTCAAGCGCAGGCTCCAAAAAACCAAGGCTACAATTCGGAACCTTGAACCCGAATCAAGAGCTCCACATCGCAAGGGCACCACTCAATGAATGCTCCGCTTCCTGTATTGCCGGGTGTTGTGCGATACCTCCAGTGCATTGAACTGTAGAATTATGGCTTCTTCTGTAGATTCGAAACGTCCCGGAGTTTCAAGCAGTGCCCGGACTTTCCAGCGCATTGGTGACCACAGGAATCATGCAGAAACAGCTGCCTCCATCTGGAGGCCATCGTCCGCCTCCTCTATACAGTACTCCGTCTCCTCCTCGAGTTTAGGGTTTGGGATCTAGGCTTTAAAGTCTAGGGTTAAGGGCTAGGGTAAAGAGTCGAGGGCTTTCTCAGGGAAGTGGG